GGCTGAAAGCTGAGAAAAAGACCTACGCAACGAGGTATGACATGGCATGGTCCGGCCCCCGCCGGTTGGGTCCTATCCCCAGAACCGGAACCAGAACCGGGCTCTGACTAAAGCCCTCTAAGCGGGCTTCGCCCGCCTTCAATCACAAATAACGTATTTCTTTAAAAATGATTTGAGAGCGGGCTTCGCCCGCCTTGAACCAGGAGTATGACAGGGCCCCGGTCCGGTTCCGACCCGGTTGGGTCCTATCCCTAGAACCAGAACCAGAACCGGGCTCTGACTAAAGCCCTCTAAGCGGGCTTCGCCCGCCTGGTAACAGGAATAATGTATTTCTTAAAAAATCACTGAGAGCGGGCTTCGCCCGCTTTTTGCCAGTAGCACAACTCACAGAGCTCTGCAGAGACCCACAGCGCTGTATATAAAAGTATATGAAATATAAAAATAAATAAAATAAATAAGGTAAGTTATAAGTTAGATTAAAAAAAGATGAAAAAAGTATATAAAATATAAAAATAAAGAAGCTAAGTTAGTTTAAAGTTAACATGATATAAGTTACATTAAAAAAATAAGAAAAATATAAAATATAAAAATAAAGAAGCTAAGTTAGTTTTAAGTTAACATAATTGAAGTTACATTAAAAAAATAAGAAAAATATATATAAAATTTAAAAATAAATAAGCTATGTTAGCTTTATCTTAACGTAATATAAGTTAAATTAAAAAATAATGAAAAAATAATATGAAATATAAAAAATAATTCAGAATAACTAGTGTAAGTTGGTTTAGAGTTCATGTCTAAAGTCAGAGTGAGTAATATATATTTTTTTATTAAAAAGCTTTGTGAGTTTTCAGTTAACGAAATGTAAGTTAGAATAAATAAATATAAAATTAATTTAAAATAAATAAGCTAAGTTAGTTTTAAGTTCACATATGTCAGTTAGAAAAAAAAAAGAAAAAATGAATATAAATAAAATATATAAAATGAAATCAAAATAGCTAGTGTAAGTTGGTTTGTAGTTCCTGTCTAAAGTCAGAGTGAGTTAGGGCTGGTCCTGTATCTCAGTCTCCACCTCTACCTCCGTTCTTCAGTCTCTGAGCTAAAGGGACAATAAAAACCCTTTTTACTCATTATTTCTGCATCATTTAGTTCTTTTTCCATCTCTCTTCTAGAAGTCATTTGTTTTCTTGCTATGTGTGATTATCTGCAGTATCTATTAACTCATTGACTGGCAGCCATTTTCAGAACAGAGTCCCATACTGCCAGAGTTTTTTGAGCATTTTGACTGATTTTTCTAGAGCCAC